GTGACTTGCCGTGATCAAGCAAGAGGAGAAGAAGACAGGAAGTGTGTTTGCTTTCTTGTTGTTGGAGTGAGATGGGTGGGAAGCTTGGAGTCTGACGTACGAGATCAACGGGTCACGATCAAAGACACCAGACAGCTAACCCCCACCGTAAATGGCCGACGCACCCCATCCCAGAAATGACACAAGACCAGAACCATAGTTTTCTGCCTGTTAATGACAGTTAAACAGAACAGATAACATTCAATAATTACATTTTACAATTTGAAATCTGAATTTGTGAGAGAGTTATAAAATATGTTTTAAATAGACACTATTTTCTAATCAAGATGTTTGTCTTTTTTTAAATGTCTCTTCAGTTCATTAGGTTTGGCTCACATTTGTAATATGGCTACAACACACTTCAGACGAAACTCCAGAATTTATGAACAGGCAACATTCGACGATACAATTCACAACAATACACATAGAAGAAACATGAACAGGCAACATTCAACGATACAATTCACAACAATACACATAGAGGAAACATGAACAGGCAACATTCAACGATACAATTCACAACAATACACATAGAAGAAACATGAACAGGCAACATTCAACGATACAATTCACAACAATACACATAGAGGAAACATGAACAGGCAACATTCAAAGATACAATACACATAGAGGAAGCATGAACAGGCAACATTCAACGATACAATACACATAGAAGAAGACTACAAACTGCCATTCTTAGACGTGATGGTTAACCAAGACACGAAAGTCGTAAAGATAACGGAAAATACCTGGAATATAGATGAATCTACCCCAGCAGAGTAAAGGCGAAGGTCATAGGTTGTCCAGCGTACATAATGAGCAAGAAAATGATAAGAAGAAGGAATAGAACATATAATTACTAGAACCCTCCTTGGCATTGGATAGATACCCCAAATACTTATCAAAGAAGATAGATGATAAGAATACGCAGGAATGAAATTACAGACACATTCCCCTTAGAAAACGTACAGAGAATACGTAAACAACCTAAAGTAAGAACAATTTTCAGAAGCCACAACGCAATAAGATCTCAATTAGTAAACAAATATCAATCCGTCTAATAAAATAGTCCACCTAAAGTCAACAAACCTAGAAATATCTATAGAAACCATTCAAACAGTTAGTTGATTCTATATGTAAACGGGACGAACAGATAGTAATTTAGGCTTTCTAATTAGAAGACCAGAACCGGATCCCGTCCCTTGTTACCATATATAATCCATCTTAAAATCCTTCCTAAAGGCATCAGGAGATTAGAAGTCGAAACGTAGGACATAAACCGATTAGCATTTCATAACAAATAGTAACTAATTCGTAGCTAAACATAAGTGATCATGTAGGCTAATGTACGTAACACCAAATGTTGGTCTAGTTTACGTAATTTGTCAGTTCTACACCGAATCACAAACTATTACTATTCTGATCAATCAAATCTAAAACACAAAGGAGTTTTGTACATTAGTAAATAACGTATTTAGATATGCATTTAGACTTCTGTAGAAATTGTTCCTCCCCATTGGCACAGCGCTATGTCTGCGGACTTATAACGTTAGAAACTGGGTTTCGATACCCGTCATGGGCAAAGCACAGATAACTAATTTCGTAGCTTTATGCTTAATTACAAACAAACAAATATATATAGAAATTATGCTTATTATTTCTTTTATTCTTCATAACTGTATACAGATTGAGTACGTTATTTTAAAACGATTTTGGAGCTTCACCACGTCATTGCAGTACATGTCGTCATAGCCCCGCAGCGTAGTATACACTCTAAGTAACATCATTCCTAAGGATTTCACGTCACAAAGCACGTCACTCCTCCCTACATGATTTTCATAGTCCATCTAGTGTACAAGGACAACAGATTTTCAGCACCCGTTTCCACAGTGTTTTTGTCACTGGAGGTCCTCCACTATCTCCTTGAAATTAGAGAAGAAGAAGAAACATCAATATAGATGTCAGGTTGTTCAGCATAAGCACAGAATCCTCCTGTAGAGACTACCCCCTACCAACTGCCAAGTGTTATCTACTTTTGTAACTAGAGGTCCTCCACTATCTCCCTGAAATTAGAGAAGAAGAAGAAACATCAATATAGATGTCAGGTTGTTCAGCATAAGCACAGAATCCTCCTGTAGAGACTACCCCTACCAACTGCCAAGTGTAATATATGGGTTTACCAAGATAGGGTTTCCAGTCATACCTCTGTTAAACCGTCGCATACCTAAAACAGCTGGACAATGTAATGGATATTCATACTATTCCTTACGAATACATATGGGCCAAGTCGTCGAACATAGCCCTAATGGATTTCTGTGTGAACGTAGATAACACTTGGCAGTTGGTAGGGAGTAGTCTCTACAGGAGGATTCTGTGCTTATGCTGAACAACCTGGCATCTACACAGCTGTAGCGCATCATGTTCCATGGGTTCTCAACACCATCCGTGAGGATAAATTGCAATTTTTTGTTTAATGATTACACATTTTTTGAAGATCCACCTTTTCTGACCGTACGCATTTTTTTTACAAAATCGTTTTCCCTTGTTTTAGTTTTCTGATACAAAATACAGTGTTCTTATTTATAAATGCTGGGAAAACTTGGTGTAATTAACTTTCCTTAGAGGTTAAAGTTATTACAAAAATAAAACTCTGGATCTTTAGTGAAAGGGCATTCATTCGATGCAGAGGTGAGTTCTCAATGAGAAATAAATACAGAATTTTACCGAAATAACCTATTTTAGCTATGATAACCTGAAAACCACATCTGTGTGCAAACATGATTAAATGTGTTTCACTAACCTGATATCAATAGTAAAATAAAATCCAATATCTTAAAATTGCAATTGAAACGACGTAACGTCTTTCACACTTTAAAAGAGCAATATCAAGAACACTTGTATTAAACCTACATGTATGTAATTATTCTTATATGTATTTATGAAGCATAAAAGAAGACCCTTCTCAAAATATGTATTTGTAACTAAGGGAGAATATTTTCACACCTGTTTAATAAAGCCGTGTTAGCTCAGTATTCGGCGTATGGAATCATTTTTCACTTCCCCAATCTTTGAAATATGCCACTTTTATTGCATTATTTTGCTTTTGAAAAAGTCTGTTTTGTTTTACTAACACCCAAGGTTTCCAATATCAATTTTTAAAATGAATAATTTTACTAAATGACAAATAACAAAACAGTAATTATTTTGTTTTTCGTAGCTTTTTTTTTTGACGTGGCTTGACCATAACAACTTTGCTTATGTCATTGTTTGATGGAGCGAATATATTAGTGACGACTATCTTTATAGTGATTTTTCAATTTTTAGAACACTTCTTTCAATTATGTTTAATTTTTGTTGTTGTTGGAGTGATTGTTTTTCAGTGTCTTGAAGCAATTGGAAAATAACTAGAATTTGTCATTATTATGACATACCTAGATTTCATTCTTTTACCCGTTTTTGTCATTATTATGACATACCTAGATTTCATTCTTTTACCCGTTTTTTTCATTATTATGACATACCTAGAATTCATTCTTTTACCCGTTTTTGTCATTATTATGACATACCTAGATTTCATTCTTTTACCCGTTTTTGTCATTATTATGACATACCTAGATTTCATTTTTTACCCGTTTTTGTCATTATTATGACATACCTAGATTTCATTCTTTTACCCGTTTTTGTCATTATTATGACATACCTATATTTCATTCTTTTACCCGTTTTTGTCATTATTATGACATACCTAGAATTCATTCTTTTACCCGTTTAAGCCTCCTTCAATTTATATTTTTAACTTTGTACGGCATTTGAATCAACTGTCAGTATATTTGTGGTCAACGCCAGCATTGGCAAGGGGGGGGGGGACCACGTCCCCTGAAATACCGTTGCCCTTCCCCAAAACTAATGAATGCCGTCCGTTAATCTAATTTTAAATTTGGACCAATTATAAAAAATGTTTTATTACCACCCCAACCCACAAGTTAAGAAAAACTGAAGATGGGACTGGCAACATTTGATATATATTTTAATAGTTATATTTGGAATATATGAAGTAATAATTTTCTAAGTTTTATAGTTCCGTTATGCTGTTTATTTCTAGGTTTTTGGACATAATGCTGTACTTTTCTTTAAGTTCAAATCCTTAACGTTTGCTCATAGCCATGTGGTTTACCTGTCATAGACTAAAAAAAAAGAAAATTAATTTTTTTTCTCTGCAGCTAGATTCAACAAGAGTTACAGACCCTTGAACATTCTATGGAAATTCGTACAGTTTGCATGTTATGTGTAAAGAAACAAGTTCAGGATGATATCAGTTCGACTGTACGTAATTTTGATGATATAAAAGAAAGTAACTATCCTAACAACCTCTAAATGTTACTACTATTGACATTATGTTTTGTCTAATGTTACGTTCTGGCTATATTAAGATAATGTTAGTAGTCTATTGTTGAGTAATGAGAAAAGTGTTCTTCTCATTTACGTCTATTGGGATTTTTGTTCTTCATAGTCGTACGTAGGAGTTGATCTACCGTGGCGGTTGTTTTCCTTTTTTCTATACGTGATCTTAATATTTTGTCTTCAGAACAAAACTCATTCCAAATCTTTTGTTTGTGTTTAATTGAATATTTAACATCTAGCTTTCTTACTCCTTCGCCATCCTGGTAAGTAATGCTTCCCTCTTTGTTGACTTTAAGGTTTCTTGACCAGCAAAAAGCAGTTTATTTCTTTGTTGACTTTAGGGTTTAAACTGCTTTTTGCTGGTCAAGTTTTCTTTGTTGACTTTAGGGTTTCTTGACCAGCAAAAATCAGTTTTTTTTCTTTGTTGACTTTAGGGTTTCTTGACCAGTAAAAAGCTAGTTTTTTTCTTGTTGACTTTAGGGTTTCTTGACTATAAACTAGATG